ATATAACACTTGTAAATATCTATGTACCCAACATAGGAGCACAAATACATAAAGCAATTATTAATAGACATAAAAGAATAAATAGACAGTAACACAATAATACTAGGAGACTTTAACACTCCATTTACATCTATGGATAGATCATCCAAACAGAAGATCAATAAAGAAACATTGGCCTTAAACGACACATTAGACCAGATGGACTTAGTAGATATATATAGAACATTCCATCCAGAAACTGCAGAATACACATTCTTTTCAAAGGCACATAGAACATTCTCCAGGATTGATTACATATTAGGCCACAAAACAAGTCTCAATAAATTTAAGAAGATCAAAATAATACCAGGCATCTTTTCTGACCACAGAGGTATGAAACTAGAAATCAACTGCAGTAAGAAAACCAGAAAAGCCACAAAAATGTGGAGAGTAAACAAAATGCTACTAAACAATGATTGGGTCAATGAAGAAATCAAAGGAGAAACCAAAAAATACCTGGAGATGAATGAAAATGAAAGTATGACATGCCAAAATCTATGGGATATGGCAAAAGTGGTTCTAAGAGGGAAGTTTATAGCAATTCAGACCTACCTCAACAAACAAGAAAAATGCCAAGCAAACAATCTAACAGTCCACCTAAAGGAAATGGAAACAGAAGAACAAAGAAAGCCCAAAATGAGCAGAAGGAAGGAAATAATAAAAATCAGAGCAGAAATAAATGAAATAGAAACTAAAAAATAGATAGAAAAAAATCAATGAAACCAAGAGCTGGTTCTTTGAAAAGAAAAGCTAGGCTCACCCAGAAAAAAAGAGAGAAGGCTCAAATAAATAAAATCTGAAATGAAAGAGGAGAAATTACAATGGACACCTCAGAAAATACAAAAGATTATAAGATTACGAAAGGGTATACACCAACAAATTAGACAATCTAGAAAAAATGGACAAATTCTTAGAATCATACGACCTTCCAAAACTGAATCAAGAAGAAGTAGAGAATTTGAAAAGACCAATTACCAGTAAGGAGACTGAAACAGTAATCAAAAACCTTCGCAAAAATAAAAGTCCAGGACCAGACGCCTTCCCTGGTGAATTCTACCAAACATTCAAACAAGACTAATACCTATCCTTCCCAAACTCTTCCAAACAATTGAAGAGGAGGGGAAGCTTCCGGACTCATTCTTTGAAGACAACATTATCCTGATACCAAAACCAGACGACAACACAAAAAAAGAAAATCACAAGCCAGTATCACTGATGAACATCGATACAAAAATCCTCAACAAAATACTAGCAAATCGAATACGACAATACATTAAAAAGATCATACATCATGATCAAGTGGGTTTCATTCCAGGGATGCAGGGATGGGTCAACATCCACAAATCAATCAAGATGATACACTACATCGACAAAATGGAGAATAAAAATCACATGATCATCTCAATAGCTGCTGAGAAAGCATTTGGCAAGATACAACATCCATTTATGATAAAAATTCTAAATAAAATGATTATAGAAGGAAAATACCTCAACATAATAAAGTCTATATATGACAAACCCACTACTAATATCATTCTCAACGGAGAAAAACTGAGAGCTATCCCTCTAAGGATCAGGAACCAGACAAGGATGACCACTTTCATCACTCTTATTTAGCATAGTATTGGAAGTCCTAGCCAGAGCAATCAGGGAAAAATAAGAAATAAAAGGGATCCAAACAGGAAAGGAAGAAGTGAAACTGTAGCTATTTGCAAATGACATGATTTTATATATAGAAAACCCTAGGGAATCCACTAAAAAACTTTTAGAAATAATAAATGAATACAGTCAAGTCTAAGGATACACAATCAACATACAAAAATCAGTGGTGTTTCTATACACTAACAATGAAGTAGCAGAAAGAGAAATTAAGAATACAATCCCATTTACAATTGCAACAAAAAAGAATAAAATACCTAGGAATAAACTTAACCAAAGAGGTGAAAGATTTGTACACTGAAAACTATAAAACATTGTTGAAAGAAATGGAAGAAAACATAAAGAAATGGAAAGATATTCTGTGCTTTTGGATTGGAGGAATTAACATAGTTAAAATGTCCATACTACCCAAAGCAATCTACAGATTCAACACAAACCCTATCAAAGTTCCAAGAACTTTTTCACAGAAATAGAACAAAAAATCCTGAAATTTATATGGAACAACAAAACCCCTGTATAGCCAAAGGAATCCTGAGGAAAAAGAACAAAGCTGGAGGTATCACACTCCCTGATTTCAAAATATACTACAAAGCTATAGTAACCAAAACAGCATGGTACTGGCACAAAAACAGACACACAGATCAATGGAACAGAATCGAGAGCCCAGAAATAAACCCACTCATACATGGACAGTTAATCTTCAATGAAGGAGCTAAGAATATACAATGAAGGAAAGAAAGTCTCCTCAATAAGCAGTTTTGGGAAAACTGGACAGCCACATGCAAAAGAATGAAAACAGACCGTTATTTTACACCATGCACAAAAATCAACTCGAGATGGATTAAAGACTTGAACATAAGACCTGAAACCATGAAACTTCTGGGAGAAAACATAGGCAGTACGCTCTTCGACATCAGTCTTAGCAGCGTTTTTTCAAATACCATGTCCCACAGGGCAAGGGAAACAGTAGAAAAAATAAACAAATAGGACTGCATCAAACTAAAAAGCTTCTGTACAGCAAAGGAAACCATCAACAAAATGAAAAGACAACCTAACGATTGGGAGAAGATATTTGCAAGCCATATATCTGATAAGGGGTTAATATCCAAAATACACAAAGAACTCATACATCTCAACAAAAAAACCCCAACAACCCAGTTTAAAAAATGGGCAAAAGATCTGAACAGACATTTCTCCAAAGAAAATATACGGATAGCCAACAGGCGCATGAAAAGATGTTCAACATCATTAACTATCAGGGAAATGCAAATCAAAACTACAATGAGATACCACCTCAATCTGGTCAGAATGGCTATAATTAACAAGACAGGAAACAGTAAGTGTTGGAGAAGACATGGAGAGAAGGGAACCCTCATACACTGCTGGTGGGAGTGTAAACTGGCACAGCCACTGTGGAAAACAGTATGGAGTTTCCTCAGAAAATTAAGAATAGAACTACCATATGATCCAGCTATTCCACTGCTGGGTATTTATCCAAAGAGCTTGAAAACACTAATGCATAAAGATACTTGCACCCCTATGTTCATCACAGCATTATTCACAATAGCCAAGACTTGGAAGCAAACTAGGTGCCCATCAAGGGACGAATGGATAAAGAAGAAGTGGCGCATATATACACAATGGAATGCTGCTCAGCGATAAGAAATGATGAAATCTGGGCATTTGTAACAACATGGATGGACCTTGAGGGTATTATGCTGATGAAATAAGTCAGAGGGAGAAAGTCAAGTACCGTATGATCTCACTCATAAGTAGAAGATAAAAACAACGACAAACAAACACATAGCAACAGAGATTGGATTAGTGGTTACCAGAGGGAAAGGGGGGAGGGAGGAAGGTGAAAGGGGTGATTAGGTACACGTGTGTGGTGATAGATTGTACTTAGTCTTTGGGTGATGAACAGGATGTAATCCACACAGAACTCGAAATATATTACGATGTAACCTGGAAGTTATATAATGTTATAATCCAATGTTACTTCAATAAAATAAATAAATAAATAGAAAAAAAATGAAACAACTGGAGTGATCAGAATTTCCACTAAGGGGTTGTTTTTCACTTTCCCCAGTGTGCTTTCAGAATCAGGAAGGAAATCAGGCCTCTGACTGGGACACAGCCTGCAGCTATGGGTTTAAATGAATGAATGACTGGAGTGTATCCTCAGGTAAGTAATTTAATTTCCCTGTATCTTATTTTCTGTTCTGAGAATATTGATTCATAGAAAATTAATGGTTTGGGGAAACCCTCTAGATAGAGACTGTGTTTATAGCCATGCTTATGTTGTTCTCTGAATACGGACGTTCTAGTAGCACAATTACTCAAATCCGATGTCTTGCTTTCGGTGGCATTTACCTACTGATGAGACGTTTGTGTGTTCACGTCACAGAGGCCCTCAGGAGAGTGAAAGCCATTTTCACTGAGATCTAATTTGAAGTGAGCTGGCACATGGGCAGGACATAATGCAGGTATGCCCTCATTTAGAGAAGACAATTCACCCACAAATTTGCAGATTAGCCTGAAGAATCAGAAGCCAATGATCCAGGCAGAGACCCCTGGGGCCTCCTCTGCTTGCAAGTTTGTCTTCAGTAGGAATAATTACTGCTTCCCGGCTGTATGTTGATTCATGCTTGTCCTATCAAAACAGCCTATCTTAGAGGAGAACAGTGATCAACTAAGAAAGCATTCATTATCAACCCAGGAAAACATTCAATCTCCCTACCTGTAAGGATTTGGAAATAACGGTACTTATTCCAAAGCAAGGATAGTGGAAAGTACTTAATATAAGACTGAATCACTTTAAGAATTAACAGTTTGGGTGTCAAGTGCAATACAAGCCACACACACACAATGCCTGATAGACAACAGACTCAGTGAATTATGTTGAAATGAGTGAATGGATGAAGGAAGGAAGGAAGAAATTAACATAAAGCTAGGACTTATGATATGTGGGCTAATTCATAACTTGTGCCTCAGTTTCTCATCTGGTAAACAGAAGCAATGTCCACCTCACTAGCTCATTGTGAGAAAGAAATTGAATGATGCAGTTAGAGAGATACGTGGTTAAAGGCACCTGACAGTCATAAGACCTAGATTGCAGATCAGGCTTAATTCAACACAATATAATTCATCAGATATTTACCGAGCACTTATTATTTGCCTGGCATTGTATCCCCAGGTGCTGGAATTGGATGAGATGAATAAAACAGCTAGGCTTGTCCCTTGGATAAGGCAACTGGGATGGAGGCAGACCCAGATTCTGGATAGTAGCACTTTTATTTTATTTTACATATGTTCGTAATAGGTCCTCCAAACTCCACTCTGGTTGAGTTGCCCCAGTCCTTGCCCTCGAGAAACTCACAGGCTATTAGGAGACTCAAATCTGTAAACCCCAAGTTCCAAAACAGCACACTAAATGCAGCAAAGGTGGCACACAGTAGGTGTACGGAGGGAATGAGGAGAGGTTGATGAACTCTAATGGGGGAGCTGGGTAAAGGGTTCTGAAGGGGATGCTCTCTGACTGAATTATGGAGAATAAACAGCAGTTCCTACAGAGAGGAAAAGCAGAAAAGGGGCGTTTCAGATAACAGGAAGCATCACATGCAAAGCCAAATAAAGAGGAAATGGCAAGTTTTAGATTCTGCACGAACTAACCCTATCTAACCTTTACGGAATTTGAAATTTCCCCAAATCCCTCTGGGGCTCCAGTTTTCTCACTTAGAAAATGAAGGCTGGTGGGTGGAAAGAGACAACCTAGATTTTCTGTAAGGTGCTTTCTACCTGGATACCTCCATGCCGGAGCAGAGAGAAAAGGGGTAGCTTTGGAAATATCAACTGTTATTTTTGGGGCATGAGCCAGAAGCTCCATCTTTCTGACAAGCAAGATGACAGGCAGAGCCTGCAGTCGTTCAGAAATTTTTTGCGTACATTAATTCACCCACTTCACCAGCATTTATGGCATTGACTGAGCCGGGCCCTATGCTGTTAAGGAGGCCACTGTCCAGCAGAGGGAGACGGGAAAATAAGTACACGAGTACCATGGAAACCATGTTGGTCTACACATGGCAGGTGCGTGGAGGCAGTAAAACAGAAGCCCCTAGGGTGTGTAGGTCACACGCAGGGTGACAGGGTTTAGCTCCTAGCAAAAAAGGAACTTCCTGCTTCCTTGTCCTGCTTCACCTTCTCCAGGAGGTCGCCAGCCTTTTCAGCTGCCAATTCTCCCTTGGCAAGGTGACGAGGCGTCCTCTCTTCACCTGCAAGCTTTCACAAGCGTGAGGGGCTCCACACAGGCAGAACGGACAGAGGTCCCAGGGCTGACCAGAGGGTGCCTGCTGCCGCGACAGCTTCGCTCACAACCGAGCACCCGCTTCTGGGTCCCCCGGCTCTGGAGAGAAGGGGTGGCCGGGAGGGCGGGCGGGCTGTCCAGTGCCTCCAGGGGTTGGGCTCCAGGCCAGCTGGGCGGGACTCAAGCTACGGGTATAAAGAGGAGCGCCGCTGTCCCGGCCACAATGCTGAAGCTGGGAGCTGGAGGTAACGGTCACTGAACTTGCAACTCAGGCCCCAGAGTGACTGAAGAAGAGGGAAAGGTCTGATTTCTATTTTTTCGTTTGTTTAGTATCAATGAATGGAAGGCCGGGCGGGTTTGTGGGTGCGCGAGAGCTCGACTCGGACCGGCCGGGGTCTTAGGCACATGGGTCCCCTCAGAGGGGTTGGGGAGGGGTCCAGCCACGTCTCGAGGGGCCCCAGGCGCCCGAACTCAGCAGTTTTCTCTCTCCTGCAGGAGCGCGTCTCTCCGCCACTCCAGCCCCAGCCTGGGAGGATGCGGCTTCTCGGGAAACTCCGCGCCTCGGCCGTGGGCAGCGCCGCTCCGGAGTCGGCCTGCCCCAACGTGCTCACCCCGGGCCGCATCCCCGAGTTCTGCATCCCGCCGCGGCTGCCCGCGCCCTGCGCGCCCGAGGCTCCGCCCTCGGCCGCCGCTCTGCCCCGGCGATGCGCTGCCGAGCCGGACCTGTGGCCCCGAGGGGCCGACGACAGCGCCGAGCGCACGGACTGGGACCCGCGCTCGCAGGCCGCGCTCTCGCTGCCGCACCTGCCCCGCGCGCGCACCGCTTACGGCTTCTGCGCGCTGCTCGAGAGCCCGCACACCCGTCGCAAGGAGTCGCTCTTCCTCGGGGGCCCCCGTGCCCGCACCCTCGGCGGCGGCGACACCCACCTCGTCCCCCGGGCCGGAGCCCCCGCCACCACCCCCGCGGCCCCCGGCGGCCCCCGCCCGCCCCGGGACGCGCTCGCCCCGCGGCCCCGCGGCCGCTGTCTCCTGCGCGCCCCCGAAGGGCTGCTGAGACGCGCGCTGCGGGCCCGGAGGAGGGGCGGCCTGGCCCGCGCCCGCTCCGTGTCCAGCGGGGACGGCGACGAGGACGAGGAGCGCGCCGCCGGCTCGACGCCCCCCGCCCGGGCCGCGTCCGCCGCGCCGCCGCCCCCCATCCCGCGGCCCGAGCGCCTGGAGGCCGAGGGCACCGTGGCTCTGGGCCGCGCCGGCGGCGCCCTGCGCCTGGCCGCCCAGTACAGCCCGGCCAGCGGGCGCCTCCGCGTCCGGCTGCTCCGCGCCGAGGGCCTGGCCGCGGGGGCCGCCGAGCCCCGCGCCGTCGGCTGCCGCGTCAGCTTCATCCTGCAGCCTCCCGGCCCGACCCGGCCGCAGCGCGGCGCCGTGGTGCGGCGGAGCCGCCGGGCCGCCTTCGAGCAGGACTTGTGCCTGGAGGGGCTCTCGGAGGACGAGGTGCGCCGCCTGGCCGTGCGCGTCAAGGCCGAGCGCAAGGGCCGCGGCCTGGAGCGGGGCCGCCGGCTGGGCCAGGGCGAGCTGCTTCTGGGCCCCCTGCTGCTCCTCTGAGGGCGCGGGCGGCCCGGGCCTGCCCTCGGGCGCTGTCTGCCCGCCGGCTCGCGGACACGGGGACACGGACAGCCGCCTTGTACAAAATAAATGTTATTTATTCACTTTTCTATTCCTGATCTTGCTTTATTGACATGTTCGTTCTTATATGTCCGCTTTTGTCATTTATTGGTAGGGAACGGAAAAATAATGACTCCCTCTGCTATTCACAGCATCTAATCCCCTTTTCCGGACCATTTTCACATTCAAAGGCGAAAGGGTTGGCTTGTGATTGGAAGAGAGAAAGGAACTACACCCCATCTGCGTTGATTTTCCTCCCCGCTTTATATCAATGCTAAACGTTTTATGTTTTTTTTAAAAAAAAGTTATTCCTTCAGAATCACGCCCAAGGCTAAGATTCATATACACAGCTTTACGCACTGAATGTGGCATAGGCTCATATCCTCATTCATGCACACACACGCATCCTATAATAAGGATACCTTGGTGAGAAAAGAGTTCCCTCCTTATCAAGAAAATGATCCTTTTGAAAGTGAAGTCTTCAAAATCGCTGAGGAAAAGGAAAACAAAGGAAGCGAAACATTTTCCAGTGGATGGTCATGTAGGAAATAGATATTCCCGGCATCCCCCTCTTCCTTCTCCAGAAGGAACCCTGGGAAATCTTGCTATTTCAGAAGAGAAATCTTTCCTGCCTGTGTAAACAAGTGGACACTTTTTTGCGGTGTTATTTCCACTTATCTATATGTCTAAGTTACATAGTAATTAAAGGCTTTGCAATTGGATTTCCTGGATGAGTTGAAACGTAAACCGTCAGTTTTTTAAATCCAATTTATTTTCATTTGTGGATTCAATAAATAGACTGAGTCCACTGGAAACTGATTATACCCAAGAGTTTGCCCTTGACTACAATGTGCGGGGCGGGGGGGGGGGGTTGGGGGGGTTGGGGGGGGTTGGGGGGGTTGGGGGGGGTTGGGAGGGGTGCCTGAAGATATAGATTCCAATCTTTTTTTCTGCACTTCCAATGTCTGAACTAGGGCAAATCAGTTCATTTGCCTGAACCGTGAAATGGGAATATTAATACCTGCCTTACAGGGTTTTGTAAAGATGGGCCTTAATATCCAAATAACACTTAACTCCTTGTGAAATATGATAGCAGTCTGAAAAGGCTTGAACTATACCGGTGAATAGGTACTCAATAATGTTCCAGAAAATGAACTCCTTCACTTCTCCTTTCTTTTCAATTATTTCTTCCTGATCCTGGAGCGGAACCTAGCAGAATGGATGGCTACCTGAGACTGAGCACTGGGGGGACCAGGAGTGGGAATATAGAACCCTTTAGGATCCCTGGAGTAAATTTCCCCAGAAGCAATAGTTTGCACTCATTCTGCATCAAAAAGCCCTTCAGCACTGTTATCACCAAAATGAGGTTCCGGGTACAAATTTGGTCGGAATAAGTAAATAAAAATCCTGGATTTTAAACATAATTTCAAAGTGGACAAATCAGCCCTTAGAAATCATCTAATCAAATGACTTCTGAAATTGAGAAAATACCGCATAGGTGACTTGCCCAAAGCTGTATTCTAGTAACTGGCTGAGCTCAGGCAAGAACCAAGTTGTCCTGACTTGTCCAGAGGACTGACTGACCCTTTGTACTCTCATTCAACAATTATTTGTTGAGCCCTTACTCTGCGACAGGCACAGTTCCAAGCCCAGGGGATGCAGCTACGAACAAGACAGACACGGTTCCTGTTCTCCCAGGACTTCGTTTCAGTAGGGGTAGCCAAACAATGGCCAAGGTTTGTCCTTACAGATTGTGGTGACTATCATGAAGACAATGAACTAGGGAGGGTGGTAGAGACTCTCTGGGCTGGGGAAGTGGCAAGTGGGAGGCTGTCAGAGACAGAGTGGTCAGGAAAGGTCTTCCTAAGGAGGGAATTATCCACAGGAGGAACTTAATCCATCCAAACAGCCTCTTAATGTGACCATCTAACCCTTTCATACATTCTTGATTTCCCCTCCCAACCCTTCTCCTCTAGTCTTCCTTGTTTCAATAAATGGCACCATCATTTTTCCTTTCACACAAACCAAAAACCTGGAATCATCCTTAGCTTCTCTCTCTCACACTCCACTTTTCTCAAATGTAAATACCACCTCTCTAGAGCATCCTCTCTGGCCACCCTATCTAAAAAAAAAGATATTGATATCTAAAATCCTTGTCACTATTACCGCTTTATTTTTTTTCATAGCACTTATCACTGCCTGACATTGTATTATGCATTTATTTTGTCATTGTTTTTTGTTGATTTTCTCTTGCGCTAGAATGTAGCTTTATAAAGGCAGGACCTTTGCTTATTCATTGCTCTATTTCAAGTGCCTAGAACAGAGTCTGGCATATAGTAGACACTCAATAAATATTGATTGAGTGTTGCATGAACATTACCTGAATTGGCGGTTGAATGAATAGAGGAAGAGGTGGAATAAATAGAGGAGAGCAGAGGACATAGGACTAAGCCTTGAGACAAACCAACATTTAGTAATTCAACAGAGGGTAAGAAGTCAGTATAGGAGAAAGAGAAGCAGCAGCCAGTGAGGCAGGGGAAAGACCAGGGGAGTATGGAGTCATGGAAGCCAAGATAGGAAAGTATTCTAAGAAGGAGGGAACAGTCAACCCGTTTAAATCCAGCAGGGAAGTCAAGAAAAATGAGAACAGAGAAACGCCCATTATGCTGGCAAGCTGAAGGTCAGCAGTGAGCTTGTCAAGAGTGATTCTATGGGAGTACATAGTGACAACAGGAGGCAGACTAGAATGGCTTAAAATGTGAGTGAAAGGTGAGAAAGCACAGAGAGAAAGTGTTGGAAAAATGGAGAAAAAAAGGGCTGTAGCTGGAAGAGAAAACAGAGTCAAAGGAAATTTGTTTTAATATGAAAGAATCCGACATGTTTGGAATGTTTAGAACAGAAGGAAATACTGATAGTCAAGAGAAACAAAATCACCAATAACTGTAGGAGCAGAATCTTTGGAAAAGCAAGAGAGGGTCCAGAACACATGTGGGTAGAAGTAGTGACCAAGAACCCGTGTTCCTGATCCATATCTTGTTCTGTGTCTCTACTCTCCCATCCACAGCATCATTCCATCCTGAGGCAGGTCTCACTTGTGGTCCTAGGATGTTGGCCAGGAACAACTGGGACTACCCCATGATTTCTCCTTAGAGTCCGAGCTGAAGAGAAAGCCTTGCTTCTATAAGCACTCCCATAATGCTAAGGAAGAACTTCTCCAGAAGGTCCCAGTAAACTTCCCTACATATTTTATTGACCCAAATTTGGTTATAATCCCAATCATGAATCTTTCCCTCCAAGGGGAAGAGTGTTAGCTATAGAGGTATAGAGCCTATCTCTACAGCTGTGTGTGAGGTCAGCGTCTGCTGAGGCAGATGCTTCTTCTTTTCAGGAAGTAAGAGGGGAAAAGAGGTGAAGTATTAGAAAGAGCAGAAAGTCTGAGCTGAGGCCAGAAAGGCCTAGCTTCCAATCTAGGCTCTGCTACCAGCTAGTTGTATGATCCTGGGGCAAATGCTTAGCTTCTTTGAATCTCGGTTTTGTCTTTTCTAAAATATTGGATGTGAAGATGGCAAGGGTTAAATGAGATAATTGCATTTAGTCACAGCAAGATTCATATTAATAGGAGTAGGTACCCTTTTGTTTCCAAATATAATTTGAACATTCCCTCTTTAGCTCATGCAGGTGAGTATAATTTTGCTGACGGCTTTATGCACATCTGTGGCTTTACTCTTAAGTCTGTACAAAGGGCAGTCCACTAGGAACACGTCTGGGTGACTACACTAAATGACACAAACATGAAAAATCACGTCTTTCCATTCCACTGGTTGTACACTTCAGACTCCATCTGCCACGTTCCGGAGAGAAGAACAACAGCTCAGCTGACGTGTGCTTCTAAAATCCAGACATTATTACGACGAGTTTTTCATTATTTGTGAACATCAAGGCCTTGATAAGATATCCTCAAATGACCAGACACTAGTATTTATCCTGACAGGGAAAATCCATATTCTATTTTACTTGGCAAAAAGAATAGGATTTATTTTGCATCTTGGTAACAGTTCCTGGTTTTAAAAAGAAGCAATGTCTTCCGTCTCTGTCTGTCTGCCAGGAGACGGTGCCTCATTTGTAAAAACAGGCCATGCAGCGTTCTGGATCTTCATTTCTTCCTCCTCCTGGTCACCTGGGCCAGAGTCACCATATCTTCCTGCTGTATTTAGGCTGCTCTGCACCTCCGCTTCACCATCATTGTATTTTTATTTTTAAATAATTTCAGGTTCACAGAAAAGTTACAAAAACAGTACAAAGAATTCCCATATACCTCCAAATGTTAACATTTTACCATATTTGTTTTTTATCATCATCTATCTATATCATCTATCTATCTCTTTTTTTTTTTTGGAAAGATTTGGGAATGTTTCAGATATGTGCCTTTTTATCCCTAAATAATTCTGTGTGTATTTCCTGAAAGTAAAGATATTCTTTTCCATAATTCCCTTATAAAATCAGGGAATTAATATTGATTCAATAGTATTAGATAATCTACAGACCCTATTCAAATTTTTCTAATTGGTCAATAATGTTTTGTGGTTTTTTTGAGGAAAAGAAAATTCTGGATCACAAGTTGCATTCAACTGTCAAGTCTCTTTAGTCTTTTATTTCAGGCTTTCCTAATCTTGACATTTTTTATAAGTTCAGTATCAGTTTTTTTAATAGCATGTTCCCCACTTTAGGTTTGTCTGATACTCTCTCGTGATTACATGCAGGTTACGTATTTCTGGCAGAAATACCACAGAAGTGATGTATCTTCTCAATGCATCATATCAGAGGCCCACAATATCAATTTGTCTCATTACTAGTGATGTTAACTTTGACTACTTGGTTAAAGTTGTGTGGTGTTCACCAGGTTTCTCCATTGTAAAGTTACTATCTTCCCTTTGTAATTAATAAATCTCTTGTGAGAGGTACTTTGGGACAAGAAAATATACTGTTTCTCATCATCCTTTTACTCACTAGATTTTAGAATTCTTTGATGATTCTTGCCTGAAATATTTATTA